CACGTAATCCTCTCGTTCTATCTACTCTTTATTGTCACAAGTAAGCGTAGCAAAATTCAATCCAGTTAATCCTCTCGTTCTATCTACTCTTTAATGTCACAAGTAAGCGTAGCAAAATTCAATCCAGTTAATTCTCTCGTTCTATCTTATCTTTAATGTCACAAGTAAGCGTAGCAAAATTCAATCCAGTTAATTCTCTCGTTCTATCTTATCTTTAATGTCACAAGTAAGCGTAGCAAAATTCAATCCAGTTAATTCTCTCGTTCTATCTACTCTTTAATGTCACAAGTAAGCGTAGCAAAATTCAATCCAGTTAATTCTCTCGTTCTATCTACTCTTTAATGTCACAAGTAAGCGTAGCAAAATTCAATCCAGTTAATCCTCTCGTTCTGTCTTCTCTTTAATGTCACAAGTAAGCGTAGCAAAATTCAATCCAAAATTAAAGTCTAGTGAAGCTCCACTAGACGGCATTAAAATAATATTTTTTAAGATTTATTGAACGCTTCTAGAACTTTACGAGCAAATACAAACCTTCACAGATGTTTTTTGAAGAAATGGAGCATAATGGTGCGTAGCAATCCTCGTCAGTGACCACCCGAAACACAGCTGTTGTGTGTTAACGCAAGTCTCCAAACACTTCTGCCTCCAACTCTTCTGCTTATCTTGGATCAGCTCTTTTGTTGACGTAGAGTTGATGGTTGACAGGTTTTCTGTTGAACAGTCTGAAAATATAAACAGATAACACTACAGTGAAACTAAGTTCAGTTGAAACAGGTAATGTTCTGGTTGAGAGGTTCTCTGTTCAACAGTGGTAACATAATAAAAATACGGTAAATTAAGTTCAGTTGAAATATGCAATGTTCTGGTTCAGAGGTTTTCTGTTTAACAGTCTGGCAACATAACAATAAAACTACAGTAAATTAAGTTCAGTTAAGACTATTGTTCGTTCTAACAAATTTTCCGTTTCGATTTTTTTATAATTAAGAAACAATTAACACTGTTTGTTTTTATCACACCCTAAAGAAGTCTATGGCCAAATGTAGTTATCAATGTCTTTTAAAAATTGCAATTTTTTTTTTTCTTTTTTGTACACGAGCTTCGTTTGAGATAAAGTCACGTTTTTCTTATTTTAAATACCTGTGTTATTGTTGTTTTCTGTCCAACACTGAGTTTTTTCAGTTCCAGGAGGGGGCGCTAGCACTGTAACCACGTGATTACGATCAGGAGGAAGTGCTCGAGTGACGGCCTGCCGTTTAGGAATTTCTTTGGACGAGACAAGGTTACATAATGATGACGTAGATCCTAATCTCGTGCTGTTCTGTAGTTTACTCCTACCTTCTTCCATGCTGCAAATCGGCGACACTTGGGTACCCCTGGGTTAGAAATTGACAGTTTATTTTGAGCTTTAAATTAAAAACGCGCGCACATATTAGCTTATGTAATGTATTAAAACATTCCCAATCGAATAACAAAACATTAAAAAAATAAAAATGTAACATACCCACTGAAACAGCAGAAAACATCTATTTTTTTTGCTTTTTGTCGCCGGAGATCTAAACTGACGATTGCCGGGAAGACCAACAACATGGCGGCCAGATTAAAGATGACTAAGATTGCTGCTTGAAGAACAAAGGCCCGTAAGGCTGGAATTGGGATGATGGCAGCAGCAAAGAAGGCACACATGTTGCTGAAGGAAGTGATAAGCACACTGACGCCGCTTCTCTTTAAGCACTCTCCTGTCTGGTCCTGGAAATTATAATTATCATTCTTTATTTTAAATACAATAGAGGTTAGGTTATGGATAAATAAACTTTTAAGCTAAGAGCACATCTGTTGTACATTAAGAAAATAATAACTGATGTGTCTCTGTAAAAATTCGAATGATCTGTTTGTTTCGAATATTCCTGAAAAGCCATCTTTGCTAGTCGTATCTAATCTCAAGTTAATCAAGTAGAGGGAAAGCATCTAGTTAACAACACCCATCTCCAATTTTTGGATTACTCTAATATTGAATAGTGAGATTTCAGCACGGCCCCATAGTGCAAAGCGCGATTTGTAGCAACTGCACACAAACCGTGATCCCTCGGATTCACAGTCCGGCAAGCAAACCACTATGTCACGCCTGATTCCAATCAAACATGTAAGCATATTACCACTTAACTTTTGTTTGCAACCGTCTACAGTCCATGACCATCGAGTTTCGTTTTCTATAAAGGTTTCATCAGCTAGAGAATACTAAAAGATCCGTCGATTAATCTAACATGCCATTTGTATGCTACTATAAATAAATTTTAGAATATAGCAGGTTCCAGCAAGCTAAATATAAAAGCTCTTTTAGGCTTATTATAACCTTTTTATCCGGATCTTTACAGATTTTTGTGTAAAACTAATTTCATGTTGATATTCCCTCTAGCCATACCTTACTGCCAAACTTAAGTGAAAAATAATCAGATGATAACTGAACATACTATCACGTTTTGTACGCCATCTTGGATTTCTGTTCGGCGCAATTTCCAGATTCCCGAGGTCTTACGAAGAATTTTTATTTTCAAATTCACCGCAATTAATTTATGTATCTTATAACGATTGAATTCTACATATCAAATAAAAATGTTGTGGCAGTGGCTACTTGACATTCATTTTCAAAAAAGAAAGTCGAAACCTTAACAAAATGCTGAAATTCCCACAATTCCTAGCTCAGCTCCTTAGCATGCGTTGTGTGCACTTGCACTGTTGTTATTATATATTTACCTTCATTCTAAGCAGGGCAAAGCTCTTTCTAGTTTGATTGAATATTTTAAGCCTAAAGCGATACGACGTTGGACTGGTAGGCCTACCTTCTTGTTGTGAGTTAACGATTTAGGCTTAAATCTAGTAGTCTTGATTGCAGATTTTTATAGCGCAATGTAGCTAAGCTTATTTTTTAGCCGGCTCTGTCCTAATTATTTCATTAGCTCATTGTGGACTGTGCCATAAAATAGGCCTAACTGAATGACGTTTAATAACTTGGGTGAGGACTTCATCCTCGGATCCTCTACTACTACTTCGTCACGCTAGCTGGTAGTTATTTTATATTACACTTAATACTAATATACTAATGACCTAGTTAACTTTAGCGATTTGTTATATGCATCAAGGTTTTCGTATGTATGTTCATAGATACACTTTTTAATAATGTAACTTGCTAGCATTTCTATGTAACCAGAAGGTAACATGAAATATTGTTTTAAGAGCAATAACTCCACACGTGACCCAATCCGAAATGGCAGTGTTATGCTTCTGAATGTACAGCATTCAATAAAGAAATAAAAAAACAGAAAGGTTCAAAACATGGTCGACGAAATTAAACATGCGTACAGGACAAATAAAATTGCTTTTTAAAAGCCGGGACTTCGTGTGCAGCTAACAATTCCACTTCCACGACGTAGAAAGACCACACGTATTTAATAAAGAGAAATGATATTCTGCGAGTCTAGTGGATACAGTATGTGACTCATGACAATATTTGAACTATACTAGGTAACAAAAAGTGCTCTGTCATTAGCATCTATCACGAACAGCATTCAAAGCCTTAATTACGTTTCATTTGACATGACTCTGTGATGCCGAATTCAAAAAAGTGTACTCGCTAAAAAAGAACGACCACACAGAAACTTCTTACAGTGACACCTACCGTATGAAATGTTCATTACTAAAACATACAATAGAAATGTCTTGCAATTTTCTTTGATAAAGATATTAAGTAATTTTGTAATTTTTTTTACTTCAATTAAGTAATAAAATATACAGATCTCAGAATAAATTTTCTTTTTAATTCCGCAAGGAAACTTCCTGTGATAAAATACACAATTTTCAACTAGTTGACTTGAATGGTTATAACTCCTACAATGGATTTTGGTGTGGATATGACTTTCAGATTCATATAATGACAAAAAGTGCTAAAATTATGGGTTACTGACGTTAGATTGAGATTTATTATGCTAAAGAGAAAACTTTCTAAAGTCAGGTTTTTTTTTATGTTGTTGTATTAAGACCTTAATGGTGTTGTTTCGGTTCAGTGACACAGAAGATTGCAGTGTACCTTTGTTTTGTACTTGTTTCCCAAATTCATGAGTCAGATATCCTTAATTTAAAAGAACACCCTTGTTTCGTAAATAGAAACCGTCAGGTATCTCAGTATCTCCGAATTGTTTTCGTGTTAACTCAAAATGATGTCACGATCGTTTTATCTGAAATTTTAATAAGTTTGTTCGATTGTTTTGAATTTCGCGCAAAGCTACTCCAAGGTCATATGTGTTAGCCGTCCATAATTCAGTTGTGATGAACCAGAGGGAAGACTGTTAGTTAACATCACCCACCGCCAACTCTTGGGCTACTCTTTTACCAACGAACAGTAAGGTTGACCGTCTCATTATAACGCCCCCACGGCTGAAAGGATTCGAACCCGCAGATATCGAGTCGAGTGCCCTAACCGCTAGCTTATATGGTTAATGAAATGGAACTATTATGTAAATATGCTGTTCAATAGCTTTTGCAATAAATAGTATGAATTAGGAAGTTTTAAACCTCAAGTGTTACAACTTTATATCACGAGGGGACGTTGTTAATATTGAGCCACACAAACCATAGTTTGTTTTTATCCATATTTCAATCCTACATAATACTGTCCAAGCTTCTAAAACTTAACCGGAAGCACTAAATTCAACTTAAAGTACATCCCTCCCAGAGGTTCCTTTCCACCCCTCTCAAACAGAAATGAATAGAAAGATGGGATACTTCAAAGATAAACATCGAGGGTGCAGAGTGGTTTATAACTCCCGTTTTGGACGTAGACAGGGGAGGGTAAAAATCAGACAGGCTGTTAACAGGGACATTTTTCTTAGTCCAAAGACTGAAGATTTAATCGGAGTAATTCATCGAGAAGTAACTGAGAGTGTTGGAAACAAAAGTGACTGTATTTGATTTTTTTATGTGTTTTTATCAAGCATTAGTCATTCAATCTTTCCTCCTAACGTCAAAACACGGGCAATGCCTAAATAAGTGCGAAATCTGATGTATAAAAACACCGCAAAAACAGATGGTCCTCAAAAATATTAGAAATATTGCAAACTAAAGTGTCCGTGTAGACCTAGCAAAGTGCTTTTCTGACAGCTCTAGCCACGCGACTTGCTGGCTGGTAGACAGAGGCCTGATTTTAACTCGACCAAGAAAGCACAGAGTTAAAGATTCCAAAACATTAGATAAAATACAAGTTTCTTCAGCTACAAGTAAAATTAGTAACAATTCAATCAACCAAAACCGCCTTGAATTTCCTGAGATTCCATCATATACCACTGTTCTGGGTAGTACAAGACTGGACGATAAATGAACCCCTCCTTCACATCATTGTACACAAAAAATAACGTTTCAACACACACCCTCCGACACAGGAATCGGAGGATATCTTAGACATTGTTTAAGGCAGTATGTAAGGTAAAGAAACTGATAACATTCTTCACCACCACCACCCCCTCTTTTTTTTTATATATATACATACCTCAAGTGGTATTAAAATTCCAGAATCTATCACGAGAAAGGTATGATAGCCAGCTTTACGTACGTGACGCGTGTAGCTGTTGCTATGGCGACTAACTAGAGTTAAAAACTTCCAAATAACAACAGAAAGTTGAAACAATAAATCGGAACGACCGATTGTCTTCAATAAGCATAAATTATTAAAATAAACAATAAAATAAATGGATTTTCCTTGATCCGAATTCCCGACAATGATTGCTTCTAATAAAACGCTGAACATTTCAATAATCTGTTTTGTGAAATATTATTTATCTGTAAGTAGCAAAGGGTTTTTAAGCATGGAGAAACAACAAAACAGACGAAACTTTCAATGCACAAGTAACAGACAGACCAACATACTTTCCAAGTAACATGTAACATCAGTAAATGTAACAAATAACATGAAAAACAATAAAGTCGGAGAGTAACAGACAGACTAATAAAGTTTTGGTTGTAGCAAGTAACAAACCAACTAACTTTTACAAATAACACTCGTACACTTTTAACGAATATATATATACATACATAGTTAAACTACAAAATAGTAGAAGTATGAAACAAATCAGTCACGTTTATTAAAGTGCAAGTAAACTTCCCAAAACTAGCAAGTAATAGGCTAGTAAGTATCAAAACTAGCAAGTAATAGGCTAGTAAGTATCAAAACTAGCAAGTAATAGGCTAGTAAATATTAAAACTAGCACTTAATAGGCTAGTAAATATCAAAACTAGCACATAAGAGGCTAGTAAATATTAAAACTAGCACTTAATAGGCTAGTAAATATCAAAACTAGCACATAAGAGGCTAGTAAATATCAAAACTAGCAAGTAGTAGGCTAGTAAATATCAAACTAGCAAGTAGTAGGCTAGTAAATATCAAACTAGCAAGTAATAGGCTAGTAAGTATCAAAACTAGCAAGTAATAGGCTAGTAAGTATCAAAACTAGCAAGTAATAGGCTAGTAAGTATCAAAACTAGCAAGTAATAGGCTAGTAAGTATCAAAACTAGCAAGTAACAGGCTAGTAGACTTTAAAAGTAGCAAGCAACACAACAATAATAAGTCACACACACAAGTGAAATTAACATATATAAAAATTTATTTTTTCAACTCCTTGGAGAAAATAGGAATGAACAAAAAGTCACTTGATAAAAAGGAGTGGCAACATGACCTGTTCCCTTTGAAACATCTAACATAAAGCAAGAATTGTTGGACCATTATTTACGATAATGTAGTAAAACAAACATCCAGAAAGGAAGAATACAAAAAACTGATTTGACAAGCATATATTCACTAATATTGTAAGGAAAACCTGAATCTTCTAGGCCATCAGAATACACAGTCAAATCAGGCATCAGCATGGAGTCCCAAACCCATCAGTATGAAAATACTCCCTCGCAAGGAAGTTTCTGAGTGTATATTTATTTTTCTATTCCTCGAAAGTGACTTGGTGTCTTAGACAAGTAAGACATACACATATATGATTCAATAATGCTATGCCTTGTCTCCTTTAATATTTATGGATTCAACCTAAAGTTACACAAATTTCAATTAAAAAGCTTAAAGCTTTGACTTACCTCAAAAGGTATATCAGAATGACAATTCTCTGCATAAGTGTGAGCCAATAAAAATATGCCATCTACTCCAAGGCCCAAGGCTAAGAAGGGTACAATCTGTAAAAAAGTAAAGTAGATGTAATGAAACAATAAAAAACACAATTCAGTTTGTGACCATTATAACCAAAATTTGAGTCTTTCCAAAGAAAGGTAGATAAAATCTGTGTAAATGAAAATGGAAAGTTTTTTTTTTATTACCTTTCTTATAAGAAGCATAGACAGATCAAGTGCATTAACTGTATTTCAATGCATTTAGGCCTAACGGCAATTTTACACGTGCACTTGTATGTATTATACGAAATAAATTTCAATGTAATAGAAAAGAAAAATATTAAATATTTGCAATGTATTTTAATAAAAAAAATTCTATTTTTATAAATTACTGTTTTAATATATAACCATGTTATGTGTAGAATGACTTAACATAGCCATATTATTTAAATATATGTTTTTAACTAAACTGGCATTTCAACTAATATTCATTAAGCCTATTCAAAAGTTAGAGGTAAGAACTATTGAGCATTCAAAGGTTGTATAAAAACTGTCAATCAGAAGTCAGGGCATGTCACTCTTTCTTCTAAAAATATTTCAACCAGCATACAGAACCTGTCACCTTTTCCAAGACTGTGTAAAACTGTTAATCAGAAGTCAGGACCTGGCATTCTTTTTAAAATTGTGTCAACCATCAGTCAGAACCTGTCACCTTTTCTAAGACTGTGTAAATCTGTGTTAACTATCAGTCAGAACCTGTCACCTTTTCCAAGACTGTGTAAATCTGTGTCAACCACTGGTCAGGACCTGTCACATTTCCTTATGAGAAGTCAGAATAATTTACAATATGAGCAATCAACCATTATGCTTTAGCATGTCAAAACCTTTAGAAGTATATGCATAAAGAACGTTTCCAGTATTGTGTTTAGTTACAGTCTGTTAAGAAAACAAGTATTTTCTGATCCTCAAATATTAACCCATTTTTCTCTCTAATTATTATGTTATACTATATCTTCTCCATACTTATATTTGAAAATATAACATCCACAAAAAAAACTAAGCTATTCAGCAGTGAGATGTTACAATGATGTAAAGAGGAACATCTATAGATTGCACTTGGGGAGCTTACTTCAGCATCATCTGTGTTCCTAAACTAGGAATACATTTCTGAAATAACATACAACGTTCCTTGTATTTTAACTTTATTCAATACCATTAATGATGAGCACTTAAGGACGCTCTAGTTTCAGTTTCACACTTAGCATTAAGTGTGATTAATATATAATTACAAGTGTTCTACCATTCAGCAAACGGGCCAATATCTGATGCTTCATTAATTAATAACATTTCATTGGATGATAATTTGTGTGTGACAATATGGGTGTTAAAAGGGAAAAAAAAAACTGCACTAACGTTTCTTGAGCTACTTGATTAAAATAGTTTCTGTACTAAAGGAGGTCACGTTTCTAATGGCACTGGGAATGGAGAACAATCTCGAAAAAACAACGTCGAAGCTTAGTTCCTGGTAGCTTACTTACTCTTCTCGGCTGACGATTTTTACCCTTTTCATTTATAAAATTTCAAAACTATCGATTTCAATTACACTGTTGTTCCCCATGTTGTTCACTATAACCCCACTAGTATCATCGTATCATACTAGTTCTGCCGATGAGGCCTCAGCCAAGTGCTGGTAGCTTTATTAATTTGTAATTACGTACGAGGCTTAGCATCTTTTCTTGGATATGCTAACACTTGCAATACACCAATTGTAACTCTGGGGATAAATTTATGAAGCCCATCACAAGCTCGTGACTGTAGGCGCCACAAGATTCTTTTCGTTCGATGAATATTCAAAGTGGTAGACGTGAAGCACCACACGTAGCAGTCTCCCGAGTACTTGACCGCTGTCGCCTATGGTGAAGTGGCACTCTTCGAAAGTCGGTTTCTCGTGTTTCCTTATCCAACTGGGTGTTCTCCACGTCTGTGGCTCAATGCCAGCTTTACAAAGAGAACTGATGTTTGGAGCGAACGTTAAGTTTTACGTAATTACCACCGCTGTCACGCCCAGAAGGTTAGAAAACAAATATAAACTTTACTAAAACACTTTTCCATTTCTGTACTTAAAGTAATTTTCCCGTGTTATAAGTTCTATATTTAATATATTACGCGACTTTTACGAAAAATCCAGTAAAAGGCAAGCAAACAAAAGCGTCGGAACATATTTTGTGTGTGTGTGTGGGGGGGGGGGGGCGATCGGAGAGCATCTTATTTGATATTTTAACCGTCACCTTTGAATTCATAACCGAAATAGCGACTTTTCATGATAGTTATACACAAGTCTCTACTCCCCATTCAAAGGGACTCTTCACTACCGGTCAAAATCGGGAGGGGGGGCAGACGTACCTATGTAAGCAACCATTCTGCTTAAATGAAACTAACCACTTGCAAAGCAGCTGATTTATTAAACGTGTGGTAAAAAAACAGAAGAGACCTCGACCTATTTTACTTACATAGTACGGATTTTATAAACTGAGGTCACCATTCTCAGTTCCTTTCGCAAAGTTTCGCCTCTTTTCCCGAGGATACTAGTTCTTTTTCACATTGTTTTCTTTAAGAAATGTTTTTAAAAATCGTATCCTATAATGAAATTATGTTCGAACAATATCGTCAAAGCAGCGAGAATACAACTCATTAACAAACTCAAACCTCGGCGATCGTTGTTCGAGTGCAGGGCATCAATCACTTATGACGTCATGTCGTGTTCCAAGATAACCCGCGTCTTGCTCACTGAACAGGCGGGTTATTAATCACAGCTGTACCCCCCCCCCCCATAAAAGTTGAGAAGTTCCCGCGAATGGGGAAAAAAGTAAAAAGAAGGTGTGGATAGACATTAGTAAATCAACAAAAAACCAGCGTATTATATTACAGTAACAATTTATAGCTTTGAGAATTAAGCTGACTTCCTTGTCCTGAAAAGGTTTTTTTCGGTATTCTAATTTGTATACCCTGATGGTTTACAGCTCCTACTTCTTCAGTTCTTATTAACATATCACACATTTGTATATCATACAAACAAACACCAAACATTAACATGTAATGTTCATGGTTTACCACTCCTACTTCTTCAGTTCTTATTAATATATCATACAAGCAAACGTCAAGCATTAACATGTAATGTTCTTAATACGCTGTTGGAAGGTAAGGGAACTTCCTGTTATTTACAAATTGCTACCAAAATATTGGCTAATTCATTCTGCACACACTAAACGTTATACGATATCTTATAAAATAAGCGTTGATTTCACTATATTACCTACCTCACTTTTATAAAATAAGCGTTGATTTCACTATATTACCTACCTCACTTTTATAAAATAAGCGTTGATTTCACTATATTACCTACCTCACTTTTATAAAATAAGCGTTGATTTCACTATATTACCTACCTCACTTTTTTTTTTCATTCAGTAATTTGAACAAAAGCTCTACGCCAATAAATCAGTATGAATTTCCAACATGCCCATGTATTGCGAGTTTTATTTTGAAACTTATAAGAAACGAATTACAAATATCATTCTAACAGAACGTTCTGAATTTCATTACAACTAGTCTTGGTTGGGTTACATAGAGGAAAAAATACAAAAAATTTAATCTTTCAACAAACTGTAGCAAAATGTTTGTTTTTCAATTTCGCGCAAAACTACACGAGGGCTATCTGCGCTAGCCGTCCCTAATTTAGCAGTGTAAGGCAGCTAGTCATCACCACCCACCGCCAATTCTTGGGGTACTCTTCTACCAACGACTAGTGGGATTGACCGTCACATTATAACGTCCCCACAGCTGAAAGGGCGAGCATGTTTGGTGGGACTGGAATTCAAACCCGCGACCCTCGGATTGCGAGTCAACCGCCCTATTCACTTGGTCATGCCGGGCCAATTTCAAAAATATATCCATGCAGCCAATCCTGCGGACCCTACTATACCCTTGATCTCTTCATCAGGAGCCCCAGTATGAAAATTTCGAAAATATAAACGTAAATTCTAATTTTGAACTAAAGCTTACATGCCGACCTTTATCTAAATCCAGGATTCAGTTTTGATAGCCCCAAACCCCATTTGACCCCTCAGATTTCAAAATTTATATTCAATGGGGACAAGAATCTATATGTAGTATTTCAAGACGTTTTTGCTCAAAACTGTGAGAGAATTTCAAAAATCAAATTAACATGGATAAATATTGAAAAATGGAGATTGTTGCACAGGTGTATGTTGAATTATAACTATTTATTCCTAACCTCCGCCCCCCATGGCACAGCGGTATGTCTGCGGTCTTACAGCGCTAGGAATCGGGTTTCGATACCCGTGGTGGGCAGAGCACAGATAGCCCATAAATTCAAACAATCCTACCCTCCCCGCGTCTTTCTATCAGTGAATCCAAAAGTAAAACAGTCAGTACGTTTTCCTAACAAAGCGCTTAGCATTAATAGTGAAGCCATTGCGACCATAACAAAGTAACAGGTGTATCCTCCCATTTGCTGATCACGTGCAGAGAAGCTGCCAAACTCGGAAGCTGTATCTCTCTCAGCGGGTTTTAAGTTGTGAGTTTTTTATTGTTTTTCGCACACAGAATAGCAACAGGTAATACCTAATGTATATAAGAATCATTTTTAGCAGTAACAGCTTTATATAAAGTTAGTGATAAGCAAAACATATCCACCCTACAGCCTTTGGATGCCAAAAGGTCTACTCTTCTAACACTTACACAGCAAGTCATAATACACACAACGAACCATTCACTGCCTTTTCCTTAGTAGTAAACCGCTCCTTCCTTTATACCGCTAGAAACCGAGTTTCGATACCAGTAGTGGCCAAAGCACAGGTAGCCCATTGTGTAGCTTTGTGCTTAACTTCAAACTAATTAGTTAACCCTTTAAGTAACTGTGCTATTTTGAGTGTGTCAATAAAAGTGCTGTTTACAGCTCAGAGATAGATATAGTTTCATTCCTTTTTTACGTATACCTGTATAATCCGGTAATGGCTGCCAGAAACATTTGTAACTTTTATGGTAAGTCATTTAATAAATGTTAAGTTAATATGAAATCAGATTAAAAACCCGATCTTAAGAAACAACATACTTGAATATATCCCCCCCAGTGGCTTATAAACCTAAAAACCGGGTTTCGATACCCGTGGTTGGCACAACACGGGCAGTCCATAGTGTAGCTTTGCGCTTAAAAACAAAACAAACAAACTTAAAGATGCATGAACTAAATGTACGTGATCTTAGCACGTATTTTAAAAAGCTGACATATACGTTGTAAGAAGAATATGAAAGAAAAAGTTGAAACTGATATATATATCGGAAGGGAATGATTTTTTAATTACTTAAAATACACTATTTTACTTGACAATAACTGCTTACCTGGGTAGTGGAAGCATTGAACACAATGCCTAGAATTGCACAGAGTCCAAGTCCCGCTGCGACGGATAACGCCACCAACAGAACTCCAGCAAGTCCAATTCCACTCTGAGAATTGACAGCGTCCGTCCACCTCAATAACGACGCACAGGCGTAAACCAACTATGGAAGAAAACCGTAATTAAGAGGCGACTCTGTCTTTTTTATTCAACTCTGGTAATGTTTTTCATCTTTATACTTTTTTAAAACATATTCTGCCATTATACCTCCAATCAACTCTTCTTCATCTCCGTAGCGACCTTAATCCCAACTAGGTTGGGGTCAGCCGGTAATTTCTAGATGACAAAAATTTTCTTTACGCTCGGCTCAGTCGGCAACCATAGAGAACAAGCATGTTCGACGACGGGGATTCGAACTCGCGACCCTCAGACTGCGAGTTGAGCGTCCTAACCACCAGGCCATGCCAAGCCCATACTTAAATAATATCTTCAATCAAAATGCAACATTTGAATTTCGATGGTCCTCATTCAAAGGTTCAGAAAATCTTTTAATATTTGGTCATACCAAATTATCCTATGCTGCTGTGTAATAGAGTAAAATTATTCACAAAATATTACGAGTTCTTATCGCTAAAAAAACATGAAATAAAATGGTTACCATTAGGATGTATCCCAAAGCCACGCGGGTGACACTCATTTCTGAGAAATTTTTAAGAATATCAGCCAAAGACGTTGTAGAAAATGCATTCATGTTGTAATGTTTGCTCTGGTTGGTCGTCTTCGTGAGCATTAGCACCTCCTAATGGAACCAGCATAAGATATCAAACTTTATACATAGAGTACAACTAAGATTCTAATGTTTATAATTTGTTGTAAAAGAAAAACTTTGACGAAAGTACGACTTTGTTGTTTATTACTTTCTTTGTAAAGAACGAAACACTTGAAAGTATAGTACTATTTAAATTAGTATCTGCTTTTGACTTAAATATAGATACACTGGTATTTTAGTAAGAGGACAACTTACCGGATTCCTATAAGATAAGCGTTGGAAAAAAAATAATACGATAAATAATGATACCTTAAAATTTTAAAGATTTATATGAAAAACTGTGAACTACTGTACCGTATACTTCTAATAAACAAAGTTGTAACTATTACAGTGAAGCTTAAATAACGACAATAAGTTTAAAATATGAATCTATTTAATACGTATTATGTTATTTTTTACCTCTGTAAATTTTCTCTGCCAAGTTTCTAATATCAGTTTGGCCTTTCCTTCATCCCATCCAAGGTTGTGAACTTTGTAATGTCCTTTCCAGAATTCGTACATTTCCTTCTCTCCCATTAGCTGTACTACTGACTGCAAAGCTTCCGCTCTAGGGAAAGAATAAAACATACTATGTACGAAAGGTGTTAAGATTTCAAATATTCCTATAACCAATAAATAGTATTTCGAAATGAAACATACATAATTGGTTGTGTCGAACTAAAAATATAGTTTCATAACTTAGTGCTGAGACAAATATCAAAACAAATCTACTAAAATGAAGCTTTCCCGCATATTGAAACATTACGTTAGAGCTCATTTTACACTCATTAGAGAGAAAAGTAAATAAAGTTCACGTAGAATACAAGTGAAGGTCGAACCTACTTTACTATATAACCACTTTTGTTTTTCAAGACTCCGCCGACAAGAAGATCCTCTGGCCAGTGCATATACTTTGTTGCAAACCCGTAACATCCGCCAGTTAGTTCTGTGCCGATATCTGGAGCCTGCAACAGAATACATACTGCTACAATACTATAACTACAATAGTATACATATTGCTACAATACTATAACTACAACACGATACATATTACTACAGTACTCTAAACTACAGCAAAGTACACATTGCTACAGTAGTCTAAACTACAACAAAGTACACATTGCTACAGTAGTCTAAACTACAACAAAGTACACATTGCTACAGTAGTCTAAACTACAACAAAGCATATATCGCTGCAGTACTCTCAACTACAACAAAGTACATATTGCTGCAGTACTCTCAACTATAACAAAATACATATTGCTATTGCTACAGTATTTAAACTACAACAAAATACATGTTGCTATCGCTGCAGTACTCTCAACTATAACAAAATACATATTGCTATTGCTACAGTATTTAAACTACAACAAAATACATGTTGCTATCGCTGCAGTACTCTCAACTAGAACAAAATACATATTGCTATTGCTGCAGTATTTCAACTACAACAAAATACATGTTGATATCGCTGCAGTACTCTCAACTACAACAAAATACATATTGCTATTGCTGCAGTATTTCAACTACAACAAAATACATGTTGCTACAGTACTCTCAACTACAACAAAATACATATTGCTATTGCTGCAGTATTTCAACTACAACAAACACATGTTGCTACAGTACTCTCAACTGCACCAAATACATATTGTTACAGTACTCTCAACTACAGCGGAATTCATATTGTTAAAGTACTCTCAACTACAACGGAATTCATATTATTGCTACAATATTCTCAACTACAATAGAATATATTATATTGTTACAGCACAATACCTACTGTTACAGTATTTTAAAGTAAGAGAAAGATAACTGACACACGTGTATAGCTTGGACAACCATTAATGAAACAACACACACATACAAAACGATTATTTGTATTCCCAGGCGTCATTGATTTCATATTTAATTACATGTTTTATATTTTTTAGGGTGGACTACTCCTTTTCTCAACTTTACTTCTTGTCTGTTTTAAGCCTTTTGGTTCTGGACTTTTGCAATCTGCGGGTCGCGGGTTCGAATCCCCGTCACACCAAACATGCTCGCCTTTTCAGCCGTGGAGGCATTATAATGTGAGAGTCAATCCCACTATTAGTTGGTAAAAGAGTAGCCCAAGAGTTGGCGGTGGGTGGTGATGACCAGCTGCTTTCCCTCTAGTCTTACACTGCTAAATTAGAGAAGGCTAGCGCAGATAGCCTTCGTGTAGTTTTGCGCGAAATACAAAAACAAACAATTCTTGACTTTAAAATATTTTATTGTATTTTCTTATGTCCACCATACGATTGTGATGAAATTAGAATGAAAAAATATTTGGCAGCTTCAGGAAGACTGTAGATTTACAACAACAAATGTATATTTACTAACATATTAATTAAACAATGTATCTGGAAAATTATATACAAAAGAAAATTAATAAAAACACTTCTTCAAACCGCAGATACCCTAAATTTACCCCATTTTCGCATCTTATAAAACCGTTTTTTCACTATCTATTAATAAACCAGGATATCATGAATTATAAAGGTACCTGCGTAGCATATTTGTTTCTAAGCATAATAATTCAATGATATATGTTCATAATTAACGAGAATTGTTGGTTAAATTGTAGCCATTTTCAGTGTAGAGTACAGCGACCTCCATTAATACTGACCAGCATTACTACTGCTCGATGTGTGGTCACTTAACGAGTCAGAAGGCAATGCATAATAAGGGTGGATTATATGGCCTTTGGTGTTTCGCTTCTACATTATTCCCTCCAGTGTCTACTCCTATAATAGCACTGACCTCAAATTCTAGTGTATGACGTGGTTTAGTTATTTCAGTTTAACCATTCTTGTCACATGAATAACGGCATACTGATTTATAATACAACTCACAAGTAACACAGAAGATCATCACGAAATGAAAGCAAATTAGGTCATATCGTTTCTAAGCAAAACCCACGTAGACACGAAACTGAATGAACTTTAACAATAAAAATAAGCTTTACAAATACGTGTATTTCACAATACATCTAAGAATGTGTGAATTAGGAGAATAATTACAAAAGTATGAAATTTATGTTTTGTTTGTTTATGGAATTTCACGTAAAGCTACTGGAGGGCTACCATCTGCACTAGCCGCCCCTAATTTAGGAGTAATAAACTAGTCCAGTGGTTCTCAAACGTTTCAGTCTCGCGTACCACTTTTTGTTTGTTTTTTTTAATTACAAACCCAAGCCTAATTTTTTTTAAAGATAAAAAAACCTAGTAACAAAAATTCACATTTTAAATACTTACCCACTAATGCGAAGGATGCGATTGTTTTTCTGTCACGATTGAAAAATATGTGGTACCATTTTTGTCAATTTTAAGGGAAGAAAATACTGGCGAGTCTATGCAGGTAGAGGGTGAGATTATAAGACTATATGAAAGTGGAAAGTTCAGATAAAGCTTATTAAAGATTTTATGATTTTTTTATATCAATTGTGTCGTGTACCACCGACATTAGCTACACCTAACACCAGTGGTACGAGAACCACAGTTTGAGAATACCTGAACTAGAGGGAAGTCAAAAAGTCGACACCACCCACTGAAAACGCTTGGGTCACTCTTTTTACCAACGAAAAGTGGAGTTCACTGTCAGATTATAAAGCCCTCACTGTTGAAGGGGTGTGAATGTTCGGTGACGGGATTCGAACCTTGCGACTTTAAGTTGAATACTCTAACCACCAGGCCATGTTAGGCCTTATGTATGAATTAGGGAAGTCTTGCACATGCGTTAACTGAGTGAGATTTTCTTTCAGGTGCGTGAATTAGGGGGAGAATTACAAATGTGGGTATTTAAAAAGAGATAATTTATAAATGTGTGTAAAAATGTTTAAAACCCAGTTTTATGGGACATGGTGCAAATTTTGCCCACAGATAACATCATAAACTCAAAGACAAATACTTACGAGGCGCCAAATTTTAACTTTCCAATTTAGGCTTAACTGTGTGGCGTTTTAACTTTTCAATTTAGGCTTAACTGTGTGCAGTTTTAATTTTTCAATTTAGGCTTAACTGTGTGCAGTTTTAATTTTTCAATTTAGGCTTAACTGTGTGCTTAACTTTTCAATTTAGGCATAACTAGGTGCAGTTTATATATTATATATTGCATACTTAGTTTATAAATGTCGCTACTATTTGTTTGTTCGTTAAATTTTGCGCAAAGCTTCTCGACGGTTATCTGCGTTAGCCGTCCCTAACTAAGAAATGACAGACTAGAGGGAAGGCTGCTAATCAACATCACCCACTACCAACTCTTTATCCCACTATTCCCATTATCTGCGGCTTACATCTCAATTAATTATTATTACTTTCTGAAATATTAGGCTTGTCTCAGTTTTCGTATGAAATGCTTAACAAAAAATGGGATTAACTATCACATTATAACGCTTTCACGGCATAAAAAGGGCAAGCATTTTCGGTGACGAGATTCGAATCCGCATCCCGCAATTTGCACGTTCAGCGTTCTATCCACCAGGTCTACTATTATGTATAAATTGATAAGTTGGGTAAGAAAGGTACTTGTTGCATTATTAAACGTAAATGACAATTTATTACCCTCCCCTTCATTTTATTAAATCACCTTAAAGATTTATAAATCGATATGATAATTTATAAAAGGGCTGTAGAAAATAAACATGTAGCTTAATAACACAAAGAGCATATTTGTAAACTCTTATGTACATTTCATGAATTTAGATATATATTTAATAAAACAAGGTGCATATTTGTAAACTGTCATGTACATTTCATAAATTTATATATATATATATATATATATTTAATAACAGAAAGGGGAGCTTATAAACTTTCATGTACATTTATTGTTTGTTTATAGTCAAGCACAAAGTTAGCTACATAATGGGGGATTAACTGCACTTTGCCCACCATGGGTTCGAAACCTGGTTTCTAGCGTTATAAATCCGCAGACTTACCGCTGTGCCACGGGGGGGGGGGGCATATTTCTCAGCCAACTTGTCCATATATATATTGAAGTTATTGTTTGTAATATAACAAGTCGATTTAAGATCCCCCCCGGGAAACAGATATGGAAGGACCCCAAATTATGCAACATATAATAAATTTTAGATATATAATTCAGCTTAAATTGCGAACATACACTTAATGTCTTATACATAGCCTTAATAAAACAACTTAATAACTAATTCCAAACAAGTTTTTAATAAACAAAAGTATCCTGTGATGAAATTTAATAAACCAAGTGGAACTTCTGGTATAGAAAATGGCATACTACTAAAAGTTACATTTTATTTGCCAAAGGCTTTTTGAAATACTACAAAAGTTACGGTTTACATGCCGAAAAGCCTTTTGAAATACTACGAAGTTTCACAGATATTTTGAAAGAGCATTTCCTACCTGTTGTGAGCGCTTATTTGGAGCGGATTCAGGACAAAACTCATCTGTCGGGTCTAGACACGGTTTCTCTTGATACCCGGATGTGATCCCTGCCTGAATTTAAAGTTAAAAGCAAAAAAACTCGTTTACACCGAAGATATACACACATAAAGGTAAATTACCTCACAGAAGAGAGAAAGAAATAATATTGCATTATCATTATTTAATTTCTCTAGTGCATATTCGTGTATAGAATATATTTTAATACTACAAATATACGACCTGATAACACCAAATTGTTGCCCTTTAATTGTACACTCAACGTTTCGCTTTACCGCTTCTACAGGAGCGTTCCACTAAAAGTTTTGGTGAAACGCTTCTGAAGGAGCTTAAAGCGAAACGTTGAGTGTCCAGTTAAGGGAAAACAACAATTTGATGTTATAAAGTCATTTATTTCTAGTATTAAAATACACTCGACTCGCAATCTGAGGGTCTCGGGTTCGAATCCCCGTTCCACCTAATTTGCCCGTCCTTTCAGCCGTGGGGGCGTTATAATGATACAGTCAATCCCACTATTCGTTGGTAAAAGATTAGTCCAAGGGTTGGTAGTGGGTGGTGATAACTAGCTGCCTTCCCTCTAGTCTATCACTGCTAAATTAGGGATGGCTAGAACAGATACCCTCGTGTAGCTTTGCGCGAAATTAAAACATTAAAATACAGCATTCTAAATACATCAGATACAGATAACGTCTCGCACGACAAATGTACATATTAAAAGGCATAATATCGAGGTTTACGTCCCTATTTAAGATGATTACTTTATAAAATATTAGGCTTGCTTAAGTTTTAGTTTTCACATATAAAAGGCAATTTAAAGAGTCAACACAAAATACAGAAAAGTAGTTTCAGTTTCATTGCGTTTCGACTCTTAATAAATAATATTCCGTTGCTAATTAGTTTTTGTGGTCTAATTCTTCAACCAACTATACTGATCTGGCTGAGCCCTATATTTGAAGTTCACAATATTTAACAGTTTTATTGAGGAGTTGAGTTACAAGAAAGAATTTTTTCTTTCAAATTCAATAAAAAAAAAATTGTGAATACAAAGTGTGTTTGGTTTGAATTTCGCGCATAGCTATACGAGGGCTATCTGCGCTAGCCGTCCCAAATTTAGCAGTAATAGACTAAAGGAAAGGCAGCTAGTCAACACCACTAAGGAGGTACTCTTTAACCAACATTTTACCGTAACATTATAACGCCCCACGGCTGAATGGTCGAGCATGTTCGGTTCGAACCCGCGACCCGTCAGATTACAAGTCGAGCTCATGAATAGTCTTTTATCGATGAAATAAAGGAAACATCAAGGACCTATTAAGTTCAGAACGAGAAAAAATTCAAAGTAACTATTCAAATAACTGTTGATTTTCACAAATATCGATAAACTACGAAACCCAATAATGTGGGTTTTAATACTTAACCCTAATAATAAAGTGAGTGGCCCACTGTGATATATATATATATATAAACATACGTAACGTTAACTGCTGCCACTGTGGATTATCGTGGTACATCACCATAAGTAGACAGATTATTGAAACTAAGGTCTCCAGATCGGAACCCGCTGAGCATGCTAATTGGGGTCGGTCGACGTATCAGGAATTTGAAACAAAAGTATCGTGTCTTTATATTAATTCTTTTTTTTTTAATGGGCTCCAGTAACAGATGTTAGTTAAAATTAGCTCATCGATAAGTATGGGTTTCGATTTATTAGTCTCAAATAAATGTCATAAAATTTGTAGTAGACACAGATTATAAAATTGGGATGGCTTGAAATTAACATGACATATCAAGCTATGAAGTTCTATCCCAGAAAACCTCTTATCTTAAATACAAAAAACACATTATACCATACCTATATGGTGATGGTAACTGTTTCTCTGCAAAAACTATTTTTTGTTTGAGGATACCACACCCGTTTACCTCCTGTTTCTAAAAATATTAAAATATTTACATCGTAATTTATTTTTTTAGGTTGATTGGAATCCCTATAGGTATCACACACATTTTAACGAAAGTTATGTACAGTCAAACATTAATGTACAATGTTAAGTATAAACAAAACAATAACCTACAAAGTCAAGTATAACCCAAGTCAATAACCATTTTTGATAAAAGAGTTAGCACAAAAGATCACATATAAAGTGTAATAGACTTAAAATGAGACACAAAACTCGAGCGTTTTCGAATAGTTGATTATTCTTCTTCAGGAGAACAAATAGTCAACTATTCGAAAGCGCTCGAGTTTTGGGTCTTATTTTAAGTCTAAGGCCAAGTCAATAACCGTCAGTGTTAAATGTGATAAAACCAATAACCTAAAATCACGGCAAGAAGGTTAATAAATCTATATTAAACATTGTTCTTCGACTAACATAAGCAAGCACAAACAAAATACTACAGGGAACTTAGATTACATTTACAGTTTATAATATTTATATCTTCCACTTCTAACACAATGTCATTTCATTTGGTGTAGACCTCAGAGCATTTATATCTCCCACTTATAATACAATGTCATTTTATTTGGTGTAGACCACAGGACACCTATATTTCCCAATGATAATACAGTGTCATCTCTTTTTTTCGTAATGATCTCAGGACATCTATATTTTCTAATAGTAACAGAATTTTTCTATGATGACATCAAGACATCTATATCATCCAGTCATAATGCATTACCATTTGCGTTTTTGTGATGACCTCGAGACAACTATATCTTCCAGTGACAGTACAATGTTATCTGTTTTTGGTAACGACCTCAGGACATCTATATTTCCCACTGATAAATGACATCTCTTTAGGTGGGTGGTCTGATAATTCAACTTTCTTGCCTCTTCAGATACAAGGAGATGAAGTTAAGAATGAGAGCCTGAATCACAACGTTATTATACGCGACTGCTTCCTGCTTTTTCCCCTCCAATCTTTTTCTTACTGCATGACGAATTGTGGGAACCCTGATAGTTGATGTAAACAAATAGGAAAAAGAAGAATCTTCGTTTCCGTCAACTTCATGTTGGTGACAACTACAAACAAGCGTGTGCCAGGGAAATTATTTTTAGAAACGAGTATGCACGAATCTATTTCGGAATTATCAACGATTGAGATGTTTACTGACTGGCCTTAAAATAACAATAACGCTCAAAATCTTCATATTTCTTGGAAGCTCAGAGTCCTGTAACGCTTATGAAACCGTCGTTCAACTCCTGTGGTGGACACTATGTTTAGCTGTGTGCTAAAAACACATAAGCTTAATTAAAAAAAAAGGATAAAATTCAAAGAGCAAACACTCAATTATAAAAAAAAGATAACCTAGAACTGTGGAGGGTAATTCTGAGATGTGTACCACAGACCATGGGATTCATAGTCCAGCACACCAACAATTAGGCCACGCCGGCCAGCGCGATAAATTAAAAACTATTTTAGGATAAACAGTTTTGATAAAACGAAAACAACTATTAGGATTTGTTCAGTTTCGTATTACGTACAAAGCTATATAATGGGCTATCTACGTAGTGCACACCACGGGTGGTATCGAACCCTAATTTTTAGCTTTACAAGTCCAGAAGCTTACTGCTGAATCGTCGGGGGGGGGACTATTAAGTTTTGTTTATTAAGCAACACAATTGGCTATCTGTGCTCTGCCCACAACGGGTACCGAAACCCGAGCGTTATAAGCCCTCAGTCTTACCGCTGAGCCACCGTGGGTGGGGCAACCATCTTTAATACACTTTTTGGCACAATGGCAATATCTACTGAGCATTTTTTTTTTCTTTGCCAATGTGAAATCTAGGCTCTCCTTTCTATAAATACTGTTTGTAAACGGTAATCGCTCATATTCACATTAATACGACAATTACTAAGAACAGTTGTTCTTAGTTGAAAAGTTCGTTTTATTAATAAACTTACACTTCCAATAGATACTTTAAATCAGATAATTACAAACGGTGAAAACATACATAATGATTAACTTACCCTTTTCATGAAGTCTTCAATATATGCAAAAGGAAATGAATTTACATAATTTCGGAAATTTTTCATTGTTTCTACTAAATGACGGGGATTTAAATTGGTCCACTGTACACTTAAGCCTAATCCCCTGAGAAAAAACAAACAAACATGGTATGAATTTCATTGTCAGGAAAGCTGTCAGTATTTTAGAAATTAAAAAAATTAACTAAAAGCAGATACAAATAAATACTATAAATGTAAATAATATGATATAAAAATATTTAATTAAAGCGAAAGATAAACCACGTTTTTGTAATTACAACAAAAACACGTGCACGTCGCTTTCAAGTACATGTAATCATTAAATACATTTATGTTTGCTTTCATTTAAACGCAAGGGTGCTCATTGGGTTATCCGAGTTGTACCTACCGAGCGGATCGAACCCCGAATTTTAGCGGGTTGCCGTAAAGCTGCCTGGGTGCAATTTTAAGAAGAACAGTCAATATGATATGTGTAATTTATACATCAATAAGCTATTAACTAAAAACAGGATTATTAAAAACATAAATTTTATCGTATTAAAATACAAACTCCATTAGTTAAAAAAAAAGACACAATTACGAAATCTAAGCTTTTCATAAACCTGGTTTTAAACTTACGTTAGTAACCATATTGATTTTAGCTGGACAATAAATCGTGAAAAAAAAACAAAAACGTTCCAGCACTTTTCTTCCTCACTATTCTAGCTGCAAAGTGGATTTAAAGCACACGTGCTAACCCTTCACTTTAGCGTATTAATTATACAATATTATCCCTTATTTTCCTGGTTAAAATGTCTTTATTTTCTGCAGAAGATGGAAATCGTTCTCATAATAATACTAAATGAAACTTAAAATAGAATATTTAGTAAGATCTAAAGAGGTTTGGTAGTAAAGCATGGTGTCATCCCTTATAAGCTAACCAATCTAAATTTGGGAACATGCTTTTTTAGGCCAAAATTAACTATTATCTTATTGAAAGTAAGTTGACATAATAATAATCAAAATTATACTTTATTCGCTATGAAGATGTTACCCGCTTTCCTCTTATGGAAAGCAGCACAATGACTAGGGCCTCTTATACACGGACAATCATACCGCCAAGTAAAACAACTTACAGTTTACGATTTTAACCCTGGCCACCAGGAGAGGCCACCAGCCCCCCACACTGTGCAGCTGTTGCTTAGCCTGCTGTAGGTAGACACCCAAACGTACTTGACAGCTCGCAAGTTGCTCGCATTTTCAAGGGAAATGTATTTATAGTGGGTGACTCATGTGCAAATAGACTACAAACCTAGCAGCTGTTTAGAGTGAGTTGTATCAGAGGCTGTTGAATTATGGACTAATAAGCAGGATGGGTGATGCAGTAGAACAGATCATTACGAATGTGTACCTTTTTATCGAGCACCATCGTGGGAGGCAAATGAACCCCCTGACAGTACATGACCCGGCGTTTCTGATTCTTGATGCTGGATAAACTTGAGACAAATCACAAACAAGACAGGTTTACTGCAAAGAAGTAGCGTGTTATAAAACTTTCAGAATAGGAGGTTGGTCGTGGAATAAAATCCGGAACACCAAATAAAGTCATAAAAGTGTAATTATACCATACCTTTTTAACTTACAAAAAGTTACATTCGTTAAGAACACACCATTTGGGGTTAATAAACTCATATATATTATTTACTTTACAAAATTAATAGGGTCTATGCAACTCTAAACAAGTTACTTTAAAAAAAAAGAAAACAAGGAGAGGGTAATACGTGCTGCGTAGTGTTCTCTAGAGGCACTTTACAAGCAAAATGAATAGGAACGCGAGGAAAAGGTAATACCTACTGTTCTCTGGGGGCACTTAAACAAGTTACTTTACAAAATGAATGGCGTTTACACAAGATAAGGGTAATAGAGTTGTTTTCTTGATCTTTTATGTAATATTTCAAATACGTTGATATCTGCGTTATTATTTGGCAATAAGCAGTACCTCATTTTAATTTTTTAACCCAATAACTAAAGAACAGACTGTTTATTTAATCGGGATAAGAAAGAGGGTTTAGTTACTTGTTACTCATTCTCATTTGGTAAATGAATGGTATTAGGCCTACCGTCTCTCACGCCAACACTAAGCCTCATTTCACGCATTGCGTTTTTTACGCTAGTTTTAATTATTAATTAAAAAAACATCAACAACAACAGAAATTGTCGTGATTACACATTTCCACATCCATTTTCCAACATTACTATTACATAGTTTTACTTCGATAACGACTGTGGCAATGGCGAAGACTAGCTTCGAAATAAACTTCGGTTTTCTTACAGTTTGTAAAAGCATGAAAATAACGTATAAGCATATATTCATGCATATAAAGATTGCCTTATAAAAGTCCAACTACAAAAAAGAAATAAACATTTAAAGCAGTTTAAAAACACAAACCATATACGATTACATAAAAAACAACAACCATCAAATGGTAAATTACCAAAAATCTAGTTAAGTAGTCTTACACAAATCTAAATATATTTTAAATAACTCTGTATAATCCAGTTCGTAAGCTGCAAGGATTGTTGCTTATTAACTAGACAGATAAAAGTGATCAGCATATTTATGCATAGTAATCAAACTTTCAAAAAAGAAAATTCTTCATTTAGAATACCTACGCAAGTAACTGAAAAAAGTGTCGCTAATTTTGACTATCGATCTATTTCGGAACTGCCCGTTAACATGCAAGTGAGTCCGCTGGGCGAAGCCTAACATTCATCCGATAGTGAAGGGGATTCTTTTCATCCCCTTGACGGTCCGCAGGCTAGGAGGCGCGGGACCTCCCATGAAGACGCAGGCAGAGATTTGCTGAACAGCGCCACCACAGTCCTGTTGGTTCACTAACGAACCCACTCCACTGCCTGTACTATGAGCACAAACCCAAATTCATCTTTCTTCTTCCCGTTAACAAACTAACGTTTTTAGTCTAATCGATAAAACTATTTCTTTTAATACTTTTTAACTTTAAAAAAATGAAGTATTATTAGGCAAACACGGCCAGTTTAGAGAAGAAACTTCTTGCTGACAAAAAATAATAATTAAACAAAGTACAGTTTCTTTACGTGTTGGTTGGACATGGATCTGTCTTTTAAAAGCGCTGTGATAAACGTCTTTATACTTCTCTCACATTGGTTTCCTCTTTCTTTATGTTTTTGTTGGATGTTTTCCAACTGTAAAAGTTTAACCTCAATTACAAGGTCACCAGAAAACCACAACGATGACATTCAATTTTCACAGTAAAACTGGATCACAATGTTTAGGATCACTGAAAAGAGTAGTTTTCGGAATCCAATGAGCCCTTACTTTCTGTTACTTACTATTGGCCAACTTTTTATATTTTAGATAAAAAAAATGGTTGTACGAAAGTGGCATTATTTTTGATACTTCCTGACGAAAAATATTTCTTATTCTTCTATATTCTATAAGTACATTAATAGAGGCTATAAAACTAAGCAACGTTTGATTGAGATAACAATAAACCGAAACTAGTACGCCTTTCTTTACGGAATAATATTATAAAACGTATTTTCGCGAAAAAGAACTAAATGCATTTGACAGCTAGTACTTACATGCTGAAACTATTTCAAAATAAGTCACGTGGATTTAATAACTACCTGAAGCTTTGCAAATTTCTGTTTATTCGGCGTTCATAAGTTCGAGGCAGACCACGTGCATGAACTTCAACCTTTCCACGTAACTTGACATTGGTGAGATCGAATGGGTGATAAATGACAAGCAGTGTTTAGTAATTTCTCTTTAACATAGTTTGAACTTCACAAACCTTGTGTACTTTGATCTTTCAATGAACCATTCAAGTCAGAAGTAATGTTACTTTTTTTTACACGAGACAGAAAATTATGAATAAAACAGAGTAAAAAACAACAACTATAAAAATGTTTCTAAATAACTAAGGTAATAGTTGTGAGAAATTTACTGTTTATTTTCGTCCTTCTAATAAACTCAAGTATACCTGTAAAAATTGTCTATCTATAATACTTAGGAATATGTGAACAATAAAACATTCAACCTACATGTTTACTACTGCTTACGTCACTTGAAACATCTTTCGTAGGTCATTGTGACACCATCTTATGAGCATTTAATCTCTTTCTTCAGGACCACACATTTACACACTACCCTGTTACTCTATATCATCAGGATGACACCTCTTTTACACACTACCCTTTTACACTATATCATCAGGATGTCACGTATTTTACACACTACCCTTTTACTCTATATCATCAGAATGACACCTCTTTCACACACTACCCTTTTACTCTAAATCATCAGGATGACACCTCTTTTACACACTACCCTTTTACTCTATATCATCAGGATGACACCTCTTTTACACACTACCCTTTTACACTATATCATCAGGATGTCACGTATTTTACACACTACCCTTTTACTCTATATCATCAGGATGACACCTCTTTCACACACTACCCTTTTACTCATCAGGATGACACCTCTTTTACACACTACCCTTTTACTCTAAATTATCAGGATGACACCTCTTTTACACACTACCCTTTTACTCTATATCATCAGGATGACACCTCTTTTACACACTACCCTTTTACTCATCAGGATGACACCTCTTTTACACACTACCCTTTTACTCATCAGGATGACATGTGCTTTATTATACATTTCACATTCAACCTTTTACTCTCTCCCTTTCATAAGAACGACACACATTCTACAGTTCAAACTCTTCCCTATACTACAATGGAAATTTATAATTCTGTCAGACCTTTTCTCAGCTGGAAAATAAAAACAAGCTTAGTTGTGGACAGAAAAGTGAAACAAATTCCACTGACTTTTTGGAACTGTTATATGAAAAACCACTCTCTCTCTCCATGGTAAAACTAGTAGCAATAGTTGACTAAAGATAATAAACTTCGCGAAATATGGCTTTCAAAGAAAATCATTCCTATCCGGAAGACCATTACCAAGAACGAGTGGGAAAAGCTGCTTATACACTCAAGTAATGTTTCAGGATTTTTCTTAGACATTGTAGAGAGAGAGAGAGGAAGAACATTATAAGATTCCCATATAATTTGTTTTTCTTTAATCCATTTTCTAAGTTAAAGGAATCTGTTTTTGAATTTCGGAGGTGTCGCGGTCAGAAGTCACTCATCTCCAATAAGTTGCTGTTTCTCATTGTTCAGAATGGTAGATTGTTCTGGCTAATAATGTTTGAAAAGTCCTTTTAGAATTAGTTTTAAAATGGGAGTTTTGCAACTTTTCACTGCAAATATGTTGTGTAAAAAATTTAAATTTTCGTTTTCCTTACAAACTAAACTATAACTGTAGCCTTCTAAAGGGGGTCATCAGGATCATAAATATTCCAAGCTTCTTCATCCTTTATACCAAGCGCCAAACCTAGAATCTAAGAAAATATTTAAATGCTCTTCCAAGCCAAGAAGAGCCTTGGAGAAATCAGCGTGGAAAGAAGATAAACATCTTCTTAAAAATACTTAAAAATAGTTTTCGGGTTTAAAAATACTTACGGTATAACAACGGGGATTTCAGGCCCAACAAGCTTAGCGCCTTCCCAGAAACAATCTAGAGGCGTGATAATGGCACATGGAAATAAATTTTCTAAAATCTGCAATAAATACAAAAAAAATAAAATAAATAAAACAAGGTTATCTATCTCGCGTTAAATTCAACAAACTGTCTTAATTTATGAATTTTGAAAACTCAACTTTTATAAACAAGAGGGAATCCTCAATAGTCTCGACACTAAGGATTAGAGTAAATTAATCTATGAGACCTTTTTTTATTTTCCTTTTTATTGGCTATATTTTTGTGAGCCAGCAATACCAAGCGTGGGGCGCGCGTATACTTGAGTTTATTACTTATCAGGATCTCTACCAGCCTACCCTCAAATTGAAATTCTTTTAGGCAAGATTAGAATAAATTAATCTATGTGACCTTGGGCGTGGTCAAATACATCAATCGAAACGGCTTGACCTCCTGGGTCCGAAACTGTAATTAGATCTCAAATCGGTCAAGAGACAAAGAAGCTATGAGCTAAAAGTTTGTACTTGAAAAAAAAAAACCTCAGAGCCGTTCCATGAGCCGCGGCTAAAAAATGCGCGAGGCACAAAACAGCAGAGTACATATATAAAAACTCGGGATCTAAAACTTAAAAAAAAATTGTTGTGTGAAATAAAATTTGTTTTAGCGCAAAGTTACACAATGGGCTAGCTAAGATTCGAACCCTGAATTTTAGCGTCACTATTTTAGCATCAAGCATATATATATCATGGCTTCAAAATATTTTCTTCAACTTGCAGTAATTGTAAATATCGTGTTATAACAACATTTTTATAACACCGACAACTATTTCACTAGTCGACTGATAATTGGAAGAAACATTGAAATATTGAATTGAAACCCCCACGTAAGGAGCGTAGCGCCCTCACCTGGAATTTTTGAACATTTCATAATAAGCACCTTAACTGAAGAAGTAGCAGCATACCAATGAAATTCGCTGTTTTTGACCAGTTATTTGTTAAACTCCGTATAAATTAATAGCCCCCCCCCCAGTGGCACAGCGGTTTGTCTGCGGACTTACAACGCTAGAAACCGGGTTTCGATACCAGTGGTGGGCGGAGCACAGATAGCCCATTGTGTAGCTTTGTGCTTAATTCCAAACAAACAAACAAACAATAAATTAATAATTATTTTAATAGTTTGTTTGTATTTAAGTACAAAGCTACAGTATGGGCTATCTGTGCTCTGCCCACCACGAGTATCGAAACCCGGTTTCTAGCCGTGTAAGTCCGCAGACATACCGCTGTACCACTGGGAGGCATTTTTAAAAGTAAAAATAAGCACGTAGTTCAAATGGCCGAAAATATTAAAGATCTCCCCCCTTTCTGTTGAGGAAAAACACAGATATATAATTATGTTTCCAAGACCAAACATATAAAACGTTTAATTCGTATAAAATTACTTATATATATATATATATATGCATATTTTAATGCGACGTTTTGGAACGTTTGGAGAACAGTCAGAGAGAAAGAAATCACATCTAAAGCATGCCATGACAAAACGTGCACAAAAACTGTGTTCAATTTTTTTTTCTCCTAACAAATATTTGCAGTTCTGTTAATGACTACACAAACCAACCATAACATTCTATCTAGTCCATGCATTTCTTCAATTACATAGATGTTAATAAAAAAAAAGTCTGAACTTACTTGTTCAACATAATGTGCATCAAACTTAGGAATACTGGGTGAATAACAAATATCTTTTAATCTCCACGATCTGTAAAAAAGGAGAATTTTTTAAAGACATGCTAACAAGTTAGCAAAGTTTATACAGGGTATCATTACTTTGCTAAAAAAAGATATTTATAACTTTTTAATTTCTATTAGAAGGCTCAACCTAAAGTATAAAAACTCACCAATAAAAGTTCAAAAACAACACTTCAAATCTTCATTTAGTAAGCTATATTAAAATGTATATGTTTTAGATAAAATTGTTTAAATAAGATACTCAAACCAAATGATAAAATCAGGTTATTCTTAGTTTATTTCAATTGATCTTAGTGTTAGTAACTTTTCAAAGTATTTCTTTATTGTAACTGTAGAGGGCAACTGATGAAGATTCATTGAATTATGAATTACACACTCGTTAAGTATAGTTATACCTTCATAAAATAGTGAGTTTAACATGTTTTTCATTTACACACTTTTTTTATATGTTTATAACATCAAGACTAATAGCACTGCTGGTTTGTCGTTCATTGAAGCTTAGTGGACCTAAAGTTACGGGTTTATTAATTCAACTGGTTATGATGGAATCGTCCTACTTAGGTGATGTAAATTTAAAAAAAACTAATCGAGCGGGATTCGAACCCATGTTTATAGAATAATTAGTTGCATGCCGCAATCTCGAGTTTCTACTTTATTGCTTGACTGACAAATTATTTCTTGATAGATCAATAAAGTGGAAATTGCGGCTTGTGGCATACCAACTCGGTAAATACAAGTTGCTTAAAATACGTGCCAAAGTTCGAATCATTTTTGTTCTCCGGTTTCCACCTAGAAATATTTTAATGTTCGAGATTTCTGACACTCTCTATCAGATACTTGTAAAGTTGAAACATGTTTCTGATGACTGAAAACAACAACACAAATTTTTATTGTATCTGAAACATTTTAATGGGTCCAAACAAATGTCCATAAAATAAGAACGAAGTACAACACAACTTCTTATTGCATCTGAAACATTCTAATGGGTCCAAACAGATGTCCATAAAATAAGAACGAAATACAACACAAATTCTTATTGTATCTGAAACATTTTAATGGGTCCAAACAGATGTCCATAAAATAAGAACGAAGTACAACACAACTTCTTATTGCATCTGAAACATTCTAATGGGTCCAAACAGATGTCCATAAAATAAGAACGAAGTACAACACAACTTCTTATTGCATCTGAAACATTCTAATGGGTCCAAAACAGATGTCCATAAATTAAGAACGAGGTAGATATCAATAACCAATAAGAATAATATTTTCTTCATTTCTTCCACCGTATGTAAATAAGTACTGACAAATATGTAAACATGAAATTTAATCATCTTTGCAACTCATTAGACTTACTACTAATTTTAATTGAAACATATTACTGAAAACAACCAGGAAATTTTAATGTAGGTCCGGAACAATAAGAAAGACACTTATACATCAAGAATCTCGATCGTGAGCAACTTTTAATGTAAGTCCGGAACAATAAGAAAGACACTTACACATCAAGAATCTCGACCATGAGAAACTTTTAATGTAAGTCCGGAACAATAAGAAAGATACTTACACATCAAGAATCTCGATTATGAGCAAGTTTTAATGTAAGTCCGGAACAATGAGAAAGACACTTACACATCAAGAATCTCGATTATGAGCAAGTTTTAATGTAAGTCCGGAACAATAAGAAAGACACTTACATATCAAGAATCTCGACCATGAGCAAGTTTTAATGTAAGTCATGAACAAAAAGAGAGAGACACTTACACATCAAGAATCTCGATCATGAGCAACTTTTAATGTAAGTCCAGACAATAAGAGAGAAACATACATCAAATATCTCGACGGTGAGCAAGTTTTAATGAAGTCCAGAAGAGTAAGAAATACACTTACACGTCAAACATCTCGACCGTGACCTGAGTTGCTGCACGCACTACATGCAAGTGTAACATAAGAGCTTCTGGGTGAAGCACGTTAGCTCCTTGCTCCTTGGGAGTCTGAATGAGTAGCTGATGGGTGCTTCCAGAACCGTCTCCAAGTGTGTTTCTTATGTACCTCAACTCCTTCTCCAGGCGGCCTCCCTCTGAAAAAAATGAAGTCTTTATTAATCATTTATGAACAATCACATTCCTTGCAGAACAGATGCTAAACTTATTGTTTAATTTTGTTAGCTTCAGTTTGTTTCAATACTGTATACAGGAAATCTAGTCATCTGTCCACGTGTAGCACAGTCGGAAAACAAATACGATGTCAGCCTGGGTGGACTACTGACTAATCAAAAGTACGTCTATCTGTTTTAGAGTAAAGCTTCATTAGGCTATCTGCTATGTCCACTGCAGGGAATCCCTTGTGAACAACAACCTACTAAAGTTGATTAAACATAATTTATTTATTTTTATTTGTCTATGCTCTAGCTCAGTGGGTCCCAAATTTTCTTAGCACAAGTCCCCACCCCCACCATTGCGCATCATGATTGAGATCCCCACCCAATGAATCTATAGATAAAGAGCAGTCAGTACCTTAACAATATCTTGTATACTTACTACGACCTTCCGACACCTTCCTGCAGTCCCCTGGGGATCTGCAACACACAGTTTGGGAACCCCCGCTCTAGATGATCATTTCACTTTATTTTCCATATTTTCCTGTTTCAGTTCGCTTGGAAGCAACAATTATATAAATTAATGTTTACTCTATCAGTGTTTGTGATTTGTAATATAAGCACACGCATGTGTTCACTGGATATATTAAAAGCGCTAACGTAGCACGAATACCGTGTAGCTATGATAATACACATGTAATGATGTCTAAAGTTAAGTTTCATTACATATTTCTTGTTCCACGTATCTATCAGTTCGTTACTGAGCTACAAGACGACTCTGAAATTGTTAATTTTTTTCTCAACATTACATGGTACAGTTCAGTAGTAACAATCATTTTAGAGCCGTAGTAACATACTAAATACACGCATACGCGGCAGTTATCATTGTTATTATCTTACAATGATATGTTCCATATTAAGGTTTTAGAAAATACAATCCTATTCATCAGTCACAGAGAGACAAGAAGGAAAAAAAACCCGTCAAATTTAGAAGTTCTCCAGAACCGATTTGAGTTTGATTTATTTTATGCTTATCTAAACTCCATTATTCTAATGATAGCCTTCGTTACAAATCGAATCATTTCATTTTTGCCGCCGGGAGCTCAACAATTACTCCTAGGTATCTTTTATAAAATCTCATGACTATGAGCTTAGTTAAAATCGGACAATCTTGGTCTATTAATCAGATTCTAAGAGGATATAAATGGAATTAATGGTGGGCGGGTTACCTTATCAAGTAGTTGGATCCAGGTTTTATCTCAAATAAAAAAAAAAAGATCCGTGACTAAACTCCTAAACAGAAAACAATAACTTTCGGTTTCTCTGTGACTAAGACAGCAACTGTTAAAACTGACATCTACTTATGCAAATTATACATACATTAGTACTTTTGGTCATTTTCTTATTAGTTTAGTCCTAAAGTTTCTTTCTTCATTAGCTCAATTCTGGCATTAAATTACACTCGGCACTCTCAACAGAAACACCTGGTGGCATATAAGAATAGATAAAAAACGTGAAAGTTTTTTGTATTTTTTTAAAGAGGGGAAAAAGTTTTATACAAATTACTATTAATAACACTGCCTGTATTTCCAATAAATTAGTATAAGCTTATAAGCAGACGAAAGTTGAGTTTTTGTCCGTTTTCATCCGGTCAGTTAAAGTGTTTGATTGATCCAAATTCTCCCATATCACTACAAAAAATGAAAAAGCTGGATTTACTTCTTTTTGTACGTATAGCTTCGAATTTGGAAGAATAAATATAAAATGTTCTTGGGGTCTCAAACCCGTCGCCTATTTTTATATAAAAATAAAATCTATATCTACAGAGAACTGTTCAGTTCATTCTGGTAGAAGCCCAGCTCGTCAGGAATCGAACCATTAGAAGCACTAGCCACAAAACTAGTATTCTAAACTCATAAGGTCTTCTGAAATATTGCGGAAGAAGGTAATGTTACATAACTCTCCTTAGCGACATGTAAGAAGAACTGTGATCATTTAATGCCTTAAAATTGTCCATCTTAAACTCTTTACCCAAAATAGGCCTCTCAACTTAAGGGGGACTAAAGGAACCTACAAACGACTAGACATATCGCTCTACCCTTTCATTGGACTTTTAGCTCGAGATAACATAACTGTCAAGCTGTGATTCGCGGGTTTATTAAAGAAAATGCTAAGTATAAAAATAAAACGAGAGAGAGAGAAAAAGAACGCTGTGTGTGGTCTAGTTAATTACTTCCCTGAGCGTTCCAGAACCAAGCCATAAAGGCGTGTTTGTTGTGATAATACAGCATTACGTCTTTTTGTGAATAGTCTGTCTTATCTCACTGAGGTTTTTATCGAAACCATCTGCACCAACGAAAGGACGTATTAATGATTCTTACAGGAACAATATACATATCAACTACACGCAAAGCTTCAAAGCTACCGGATGGGGCGTTTCTTTTCAACAGGTAGAACATAGATGACGCTGTCAAAATTTAGTGTTGAAACAGTCAAGAATTCGTGATGTTAATTTACAGAGTGGCTTCTAATATAACCATCGATTATATTTGGTATTCTAGTTTATTAAGTGCAGCGTTTATCGCAAGGAAAGTTACTAACAATGAAAAAAGAAAATGCTTAGAAACGTTGTTACTTTTATATGATTAGTTACAAAAAAAAAATGTTCAGCTGATGACTGGTTACCAAGAGGAAAAATGAACAAAGGAAGATGCATTTTATGAACGAAACTTTAATATGACTCGGTAGCATTTACACACAATAAATTATTTAACTTGTAGCGAACAAACGATCTAAAGTACTTAATAGTTTTAATATTTTAAATAATCGGCGGCTATTTTATACCATGCTAAAACAAGTCTTGTTTACCTCATATTCATAGATGTCATTCTAACCCTAATCACTCGAATTAGGCCTAGCGTAATATTCAAATCTTAAGACAGATTTGGCTAAAATTTATGTTGTAAATCTTAAAATCAAGAAAAAAATGAGAACTACTTTCAACATAATAGTAAAAACGTTATTTATACTAGCAGAAACGTCGCCCTACGGGCGGCTGTTTGTGCTAGTAATTACTAATCGCAGTATTCATACCTCATTCTAAACAAGCGAACGTTTTCTTAAAAAGTATTTTTTCTGGGAAGTGTTCGGATTGTTCTCTTTGCATCGTTGCATCAAATTACTCAATGTACAGAGCTCAAAATTTTCATAAATTACACTGATATAAACTCTAAAGTTTTATATGTTAAAAGTGGTACGTTTATTGAAAAATAAGTTTTTAAGGACTCCATTTTTAGTACTATATTTAAAAATTACATCAATAAAGATATAATTAAACCCTCACGTACTGTCCTAGTGACAGTCGTGTTCTTGTTGTGAGAAGAGTAGTTTTATTTAAAATTGTTCTATTACAAAGAAATGGTTGTTGAACATACCACAATTATTTTTCTAATTGTCTGAATCTGGAATACCCAAAGTGTGAAATCTTTTATGGATTTTTGTTTGTGGTACCATTCAATAGATGGCGTAGGAGTTTTGGTTAGATACATAGAACCTGATATGCTCGCTACGTCCATTATATTAAGATTTCAACAATAAACATGAGCGATATCTGATTCTGCGCCTGCGCATCTCTCTTACAATACCTGGATTGTCATCCGTGTCCAGAAATAGTTTCTTCATTGGTGGATAAAAAAACAGAGAGAGGGGAATAAAGAGAATTGGTTGAATGATCTCG